GGGAGGGGGGGGGAGATCTCTCACCTTTGCTTCCCCAGTCCCATCGCCCGTCCTTGTGTACAAAGAGAGAAGGCACAGGAACACAGGGTCCAGTTTCCAAGCGGTCCACGTAGAAAAGAGACCCTGGCTGCCTGCCTTCTGTGTCATCCCCTAAGTCCCAAGTCAGCAGTTAGGCAGCCCATGAGCACTCCAGCCCATAGAAATGGCCTCTGTCTCCCCCCACCAACCAATGACCATTTCCCCACCCCCTTGCCCCAAATTTGCAGACACCTACATTCTTGGCTCCTGTCTTCCTCCTACAGGCCTCCTCCTCCTTGACTCTGCCTGCCCTGCTCAAACACACCCTCAGAAAACTTTGAGCTTTTGTAGCCTTCTTCACTTGTGCCAGGGGGTCGTAAGTCTTGCTGAGGAGAGCGCAGCAGCAGCAGCAGCAGCAGCAGCAGGAGCAGCAGCAGCAGAGAAACAGATTTGTTCTGAATAGTAGTAATGATAATTATCCTCCATGCCATCTGCCAGGGCGTTTAAAAGCCATTCTGAAGTCCTCCTCATCCTCTCAGGAGTACAAATGTCCTTTTCACCTCCTAGCCCCCTTTTGCCTGTCCCGAGGTGAGAATCTCAACAGAAACCCCACTGAAGCTAAGTTCTCAGAGCCCTCTCCTGACTGCTGTCTGGAGCTCGAGCTAAACCATGGGGCCTTTTCCCTTTTGTCACTCTCCCTTCAAACCCACCCCCCCCTGCAAGATGTTCTGGGGTTTTTAATCATCACTCGGGCCGCTAGTTGTCTGTTCTCAAAAGGCGTGTGTGTGTGTGTGTGTGTGTGTGTGTGTGTGTGTTTGTGTGTGTGTGTGAAAAGTCTGGCCTTGTCTCCTCCCCCATTAGAGACTGGACCTTGAGATTTGGGGGTGGGGTGGAGAGGATGTAGGGGAAAGAGGGATCAGGGACTGGAAGATTCAGCAAGGGAGTTTGAGACTCAGCCACCAGGAGTGACTTCTTAAAAAAAAAAAAAAAGAAAAAAAAAAAAAGAAAAAAGAAAGAAAGAAAAAGAAAAAGTCCCTGTGTGCCTCCTGTCAGCATTGGAGGGGCGCCCAGAGCCCCTGGCTCAGCCAGCCCAGCCTCTGACTTGATCTCCAGAGCCCACCTCATGGATTAGCATAATGGTCCAGTAGTGGGGCCTGACCGAGGTGTGTGTGTGTGTGTGTGTGTGTGTGTGTGTGTGTGTGTGTGTTGGGGGGGGAGCAAATCTGTGAACTCCACCAGCTTTCTTTGCATTTTGCTCTCCTCTTCCTCCCCCACCTCAATGTAAAAAAAAAAAATTATATTTACCTGTTTTAAAAACAAAACAAGTCAAGACTACCCTCTACCTACTTTCTTTGCTGTGAACTCTTTTTTTTTTTTTTTTTTTGGTGGGGGGGGGCATCCCCCCCCCCCCCCCAGCTCTCATCACCACCATCACTTTCCTTGCTTATCAGGCATCTATGCCTGCTAAAGGGGGAGAGAGGTGGGGGGTGAGCTTGTGTGTGTGAGTGTGTGTGTGTCTGTGTGTGTGTGTCTGTGTGGTTTTTTTTTTTTTTTTTCCTCCCTGTGCAAAAGCAGAGGCCATTGTTACCGGAGAGTAGGGCGTACCAGTCTTATAGGGCAACCACACTGTGGCGGCTTGGCCGAGCTGAAGCCCCGAGCTGGATTCTCGGCGAGCCGAGCCTCCTAGCACCTTTCGGTCTGCTGTTTTTTTCCCCCGCTCCCCTACCCCTCCCTCCTGCGCACCCCCGCTCCAAAGCCGAGTGAATTGAAGCGGACGCCGCGCCGGGCTCCTCTGGCCGCTCTGCCCCTCCGGCTCCCCAGCCGGGGTGGCTTTGGGGAGGGGGGGGGCGACGCAGCTTTAAACAGTGGTCTTTTTTTCCCTTTGCCTTCAAGGAGGGGAGATTTCTCGCCTGCCGCTCGCGCTGGGGCTCGATGTGAATATATATTATGTCTGCCTGTTCTCCCCTCGTCGGTGGCTAAGGTAAGCTGGACTGAAATAGGCTATCAGTTTGTGAATGGCGGAGAGTATGTCTCAATGATTTATGGCCCATATGACTCCAATCTCGGTTCAAGAAGAGTTCACAAGCTTTAAGCTTCCTTCCACGCAGCGACTCTCTCTCTCTCTCTCTCCCTCTCTCTCCCCCTCCCTCTCTCTCTCTCTCTCTCTCTCTCCCTCTCTCTCTCCCTCTCCGCTTTTTTCCTTTTCCTCTCTCTTCTCTTATAGCAGCCAGATCTCAGGCTGAATTCCCTCTCCCCCCGTTTGCTAAGAAGAGCCGTGCCTTTCTTTCTCTTTTTCTCTCTCTCCCTCTTTTTTTTTTTTCTTTTCTTATTCTTTTTGTTTTTCTTCCTTTTATTAAAATTTTTTCAAAGTCCTGAAAGGTGGCCTAGCCTCTCTCCTGGGGTTTCTTTAGCTATGGTTACCCTTCCTGGCCCTCCCAGGAGTGTGCCTGGAAAGGTGGGGTTCTGGAAAGGCGGGGGTGGTGGTGGTGGTGTGTGCTCGCCTCCCTTCTCTAGTGAGACCCCGAGGGGAAGCCGGGAGCCACGGTCTTCCTCCCTCCCTTCCAAGGAGCCATATGGAGCCTGAAAATTTCCAACATGGAGGCAAGGGAGATAGACACGTTTGGCTGGGTAGAGCTGTTCCCCACCCCCTTCTTCTGGATCCCAGATTTCAGATCCCCCCCCCCCCCTTCCATGGCACCTTCCCTTACTGTCCCGTCAGCCAGGCCTCCGCGCCTTGCAGCCTGGATCCCTGTTAGGCAAAGTCCCGGAGCAGAGTTGCTAAAGCGCCTTTTAATTCGGTTACCTTCAGCGCCAAACTTGGGGCCGCGGGGGCTCGGCCCAGCCCGCCTGGAACCTGCGGGCAGCTAACCAGTTGGGTGCCCGGGTCGGTTTCTCCTGGCCTCTCTTGCTGGTAGCTGCCCTCCAGCCTCCGCGGCAGCAGCGGCCAGACAGCCCGCCGGCAGCGGCAGCTGGAGGCTCTCCGAATCCACAAACCTTCCTGGCCTTGTCTCAGCGCCAGCGGAGGCTCCATTCTTTCCTATCGAGTCTCAGGCTCCTTTAGCTTCCCACACTCGCCTGGCCTCTGTCCTGCAACGGTTTTGGGGCTTATTGCTGGGGGAGCGACAGAAATTTCGACCCCAGACATCTAGTCGAATCGCTGGGTTTTTATTTATTTATTAGCATTGCCACCGTCATCCTCATTGTTGCTGTAACGATCATTTAGACCAAATAAAGAGAGGGCCCAGCCAGCTAACCCCCTCCAACGTTTTTATTTCATTCTCTCCTCCATCTATTAATAACAAACTCAACTGATGTCGGTTAATTAATTCTCCTTTCAGCCAGGGCTGCTCCAAAGCTAATTTTGGTTAAATCATCAAAGGCTAATGATAATAATAATAAAGGGATTGGGTCAGCCTGGTCAACTGAACTTCGGTCCTCCCTGGAAGGACCTGCTGCTGCTTTGCAGACCCCCCCCCCCCCCCCTGTATTTCCCGCAACAAAAAATTTTTCCAGAAACCAATCGGAACTCAGGGCAACAACCAGCTCCCCTTTCAGTAGGCATCTGTGACATAAGGGTCGTTTGTGGGAGGCCCTTACTCCACCTGCATCCCTTTCTTTTTATTTTTTTACTGTTTTCTCTGGGGTTGAGCATCTGGGCCGAATGATATTTCAAGTTCTGCCAAAAGCATGAGACACGGAAAGGATCGGTCCGGAGGCTTTCGGGGAAGTACCCATGGAGGGCTGGGAAAGACACAGAGGAAGGAGACAGACAGTCAGAAATCTTGGGACAAATGCAAAATCCCTGGCACGGTGGTCAAGCTTTATTTTTCTGGTGCACTTTTAAAAGGCTGTATTTAAACAGTGACCATAGTATTATTTTATTTTATTATTTTATTTTTGTCACAAACAGTTCCCCCTTTAGAGCCCAGGCAAGAAGGCTGTTCAAATTGTTCTGTGAGTCTTTTTCATGCTGAATAGTTTCCCCCACCTCAAAAGAAAATCCCAGCAGTTGCACAATTTTCTCCTTTTCCCCAAGAAATAAAAGAAAATGCACTGTTAGGGAAAAGATGGGGGGGGGGCACCTAAGCCAAATGGTCATAGCACCAACCGGGCTTGCCTGGGAAATCTAAACAATTGTGGTCCATTTGGAGGCTCCGAGGGGGCCTGTAGTTGCTAGGTCCCAGGCCTGCCGGAACCAAGGCTGGAGGTGATGGTACCTTCAGATGGGACATAGATGGATGAAGCTTGGTCCCACTGCCTCTGGGGGTTAAAAATCTTCAGGAATTTTCTGCCTTGGGCTGCTATGATCTTCCTGCAGGGAAGGGCCCCAAATGAACTTGCTTTTCAGTCCGGCTTGGGTCCAGGATCTGCAAGTTCCTTCCAGGCTAGACTTTGCTTAGATGGGAGGATATGGAAGAAGGAGAGAGAGGAGGCAGAGAGGCTTCTTTCTACACTGGAGCGAGGAGGAGTTCCAGGATGCTTTTATTTTGGAGTCTAACAGTGCCCCCTCCCTGGAATTACCCTATTCGGGATCTGGGTGGGGTAAGGAGAAATTGTAGGAGAGGTCAGGGGTTAGCGCACAAGCCAGAGAGAAGCAGTGCTGTGGATTCCTAAGCATCCCCAGAGGAGTACAGTCCCGATTTCCTTAAAAATGGAAGTGAAAATCGGTAGGTTTTTTTCCCCCCCCTTTAAAATTAAAGTTGAAGTAAGAAACATCCATGTCAGGTCAGATACTTGGTCTGAGCGTCTGCAGCAGAGATACTGGTGAGGAGAGAAGAAGGAAAACAAAACAACAACAACAAAAAAAAAACAACCCTATTGATGTCAGTTCCCTTTTTAGTTCCTAAGATGGATTCGAGGCCCAGTCCTCTTCTCCCCCTGTGTCTCTTCTCTCGCCCCGCAGGTCAGCCGCTTGGAACAGACCCGGGAGGAGGGGGGCAGAAAGGGGAGGGGGGTCCGGCGTGTCACGTGACCCCCAGGGGTGCCAATGTCCGGTCGTGAGGGTATCAGGCCCTTGCAAGTTGCCACCCACTGCCCGGGCCTCGCCCAGCGATGCAGAAAGCCACCTACTACGACAACACCGCAGCTGCGCTCTTCGGAGGCTACCCCGCATACCCTGGCACCAATGGCTTCGGCTACGACGGGCCCCCCCAGCCCCCCTTTCAGGCCGCCACCACCACGCACCTGGAGGGTGACTACCAGCGCTCAGCGTGTTCCCTGCAGTCCCTGGGCAATGCCGCCCCACATGCCAAGGGCAAGGAGCTCAACGGCAGCTGCATGAGGCCCGGCCTGGCCCCAGAGCCCCTGCCCGCCCCGCCGGGCTCACCCCCACCCAGCGCCGCACCCACCAGTACCACTAGCAACAGCAATAACGGGGGCGGGCCCAGCAAAGCCGGCCCTCCCAAGTGCGGTGCCGGCTCCAACTCCACCCTCACCAAACAGATATTCCCCTGGATGAAAGAGTCGAGGCAAACGTCCAAGCTGAAAAACAGCTCCCCCGGCACAGGTACCAACCAGCTCTCTGCCTTCCTCGTCAGTCAGCTTTTGTTCAGTCCAGGAATGTCACTGTTGTTCTAGCGTCCGACCCCTAGGCGCCCATCAGGCAGCCTGGAAACAAATATTAGGTGGCTGCCTAGTGTCTCCCCCCCCCCCTTTTTCTTTTCTTTTTTTGTTACCTCTCATCACCTGATGACCTCTGACCCAGCCCACACCCAGTCCCTCCAAGCCATCCCCCCCCCCACCTCCACCTAGGCTTCCAAGAGTTTCCAGGAGGTGGGACAGTTGGCCTCACAGCCCTTCCAAGGCCGCCCCGCCTGGAGGCACAGAGTCATCCAGGGTAGATTATTATTAAGTATTATTACTAGTGGGTATTAATCACCGCGGCTCAGGCCGCCTGACGGGCAGGCCTGCAGCCTCCGCCACCTCCATGTGCCACACTCGCGGGCCCTGCCCACCAGTGTCCAGTCCCACCCAGGCGTTCTCAGTCACCCATCCCGTAAAGGGGGACCGGACCGAAGAGAGGAATCGTCTGTCTCAGAACTTGGGTGGAGGGCTATTGGGGAGGGGTGCTCGCACACGCACAAAAAAAAAAAAAGAAGAGAATCGAGCCCTGAATAAATGGCCACGCAGCTCTGTCTGTGTGTGTGACATGATCAAATTTTCATAAGCTGGGGCAGCGAGAGGAGAACAGGTCTCTTAATAAATGCCACTATTATAGAGTGTCCGCTAATGCGAGGAGGGGGGGGTGGAGGAGGAGGAGGCGGGGACGCGAGGGGGAGGAGGGCGGCGGGGGGCCCCGAGTCCAGGCCCGGATTTATTAAGAAACGATGCATTCAATTTCGGCGTGTTCAGTAATTATCTTTTATTTCATTTTCTCCCCTTCCCGCCCCTCCCCCCCCTCGGGTCCAGCAGAAGGTTGCGGCGGCGGCGGCGGCGGCGGAGGGGGCGGCGGAGGGGGCGGCGGCGGCGGCGGCGGCGGGGGAGGGGACAAGAGCCCCCCCGGGGTCGGCGGCGTCCAAGCGGGCGCGGACGGCGTACACGAGCGCGCAGCTGGTGGAGCTGGAGAAGGAGTTCCACTTCAACCGCTACCTGTGCCGGCCGCGCCGGGTGGAGATGGCCAACCTGCTGAACCTCAGCGAGCGCCAGATCAAGATCTGGTTCCAGAACCGCCGCATGAAGTACAAGAAGGACCAGAAGGCCAAGGGGCTGGCCTCGTCGTCCGGGGGGCCCTCTCCCGCCGGCAGCCCCCCCGCAGCCCATGCAGTCCACGGCGGGCTTCATGAACGCCTTACACTCCATGACCCCCGGCTACGACAGCCCGTCCCCGCCGGCCTTCGGCAAGGCCCACCAGAATGCCTACGCGCTGCCCTCCAACTACCAGCCCCCCCTCAAGGGCTGCGGCGCCCCGCAGAAGTACCCGCCCGCCCCGGCGCCCGAGTACGAGCCCCACGTCCTCCAGGCCAACGGGGCCGCCTACGGGACCCCCGCCGCCATGCAGGGCAGCCCGGTGTACGTGGGGGGTGGGGGCGGCTACGCGGATCCCCTGCCGCCCCCTGCCGGCCCCTCCCTCTACGGCCTCAATCACCTTTCCCACCACCCCTCGGGGAACCTGGACTACAACGGGGCGCCCCCTATGGCCCCCAGCCAGCATCACGGACCCTGTGACCCTCACCCCACCTACACAGACCTCTCCTCTCACCACGCACCGCCTCAGGGTAGAATCCAAGAAGCGCCCAAACTGACACACCTGTGATGTGAGGGGAGGGTTGGGGGGGAGGGCGAGGTCAAGGGCCAAGTTGCTGGTGGAGCTGGGGGTGGGGTGGGGTGGGGGCCGGCGGTTTGGAGGCCTGAAAGAGGAGTGGGTTGGGGTGGTCCGGCTTCCAGGAACAGGACAGGCCTGGGGCAGCTACCCTGCTCCCTGGCCTCAGGGCCTGGCTGTCTTGTAAGCCCTCCAAGGCCTGTCCCATCTGCCTCCCAACACCCTCGCAGAGCGATCCACAGCAGGTGGGAGATGACCACATCAATCCCAAGGCTCCAGCACTCCCAAGTTGGGAATTTCAGATTGGAGAAAGGGATCCAAGATAGATAGGCAAGCAGGGCAGAGAAGCACATTCAAAACTTAACGGCTTGGCTATCACCAACCAACTTACCTTCCATCTCTGTGGGAAATTCCCCCAAATCTTGATTTTTTTTTTTTTGTCTTCCCTTTCATTCTCCCTATGAAACAAACAAACAAGAAAACACATTTAAATCTAAGGGCACAAAATAGGCTTCCCTCCCACTTCTCCGAAGCTTCAGCTTGGCCCCCATCTATCTGAGGCTTCTTGCCATGTCCGTCACTTCTAGGCCTATGGTTTTCTCTTCTAAGGACATATTTACCCCCACCCCTAGAGATTACAATTTTCAGAGGGCTCAGGGATGGTGAGAGATCCTGAAGGTTAGAGCTGCCTATAGTATAAATATATATATTTTTTTCTTTTAAGGACAAGAGTCTGAGAAAGGCAGGCAAGTTGTCAGGACTGGAGGTTCACCCACTCTGCAGCCTCTCGGCTCCCGCCCCATCCCCACTCTTTTCACAGAGAAGCAATCCACACACGAGAGGCCCTCCACTTTCCTTTTTCTTCTGTTACTCCCTTGACTTAACGTGAAAACAGGGTATATTTGAACAAACTGTCTGTCCTAGGCAGGGGCTGCAGCTGGGCCTGTGAACCTTGCTCCAGTTCCTGCCAGGGCATTCTTGTTGCACTTGGAGTTTACATTTTAATGGATATTAAAGAAAAAAAAAAAAAAAACAACTGTGAGAGACGCCTGGGCCTGTAGAAGTCCAGCTTCGCTCAAAAAGCGTGTGTTCTGGTGAACATTTTCATATATATATATTTATTGGTTATAGCCTGTTAAAATATTTTCTTTTTTGTATTATTTATCCCCACCCTACATTATGTATTTATATGAGGGACAAAAAAAGGAAAAAAAAATGTACTTTTTTAGTATTTACTTGTTATAAAGGATGTTGTGTTTCCTGTCATGTAAAACCAGCTATTTTAGTTTTTATTGTATTCTAGACGAGAGCTGTAGATTTCTGTTAAACGCGTACTTATGAACAATTGTAATTAGTTCTAAAAGGCATGAAACTCAGCTCCTAAAGGTCACTGTACAGTCCTGAATTGGTAGAGTTAGAGTTAATTCTCTCTTGGAACTTTCTTTGTTCTTCTGTAGTTACTTTTTTTCCCCTTAGTTAAAAAGGTTGTCTGTCAAAACAATTCTTGAATAAACTTTCTGTTATCAATTTTATCTTGTCCTAGTGGTCCAATTCAGACTGCAGAGAAAGGCTCCAACTGCCAAAAGTCCCCTTGGAAAAGGAGGGCATTGAAGACACTTTTCTGGCCTTTTTTTGCCTACTGCTCAGACCCCTGTCTCCCTTCCCCAGCTTTCCCTCCTCATTTCAACTCAGTTTTTTGACATACATGTCAGTCTAGACCAACTCTGCCAAGTTCTTCAGCTAAGATTTAAGTAACAAGTTGGGGGAGGGAAGGGAATCTTGGGCTAAGTTTGTTTAGCCTCTCTGCCTGTCTGTTTCTCCCAATTCTTGGCCTCTCTTCTCCCTTTGACCACCCCCGCCCCCTCTGCAGCCCTCTGCACCCCTCTGCCCATATCAAACCAACCCCAAACCTAGCCGATTACTGCTTCTTCCAGGCCACCTAAACTTCAGGGTTCTCTTCCGCAGCTACACTGAGGCTGTCACGTGACCCGAAGCCCAACCACCATTGGGTCTAAAATGAAAACAAAGGAAAATGATTAATCTGGGGGAAAAAAAAAAAAAACAATAACAAACTGAGGCCTAGACTTCTCAGGTCAAGTCTTAAAACTAAAGTGAAATTCAATCATTAAGCGAAGCCCAGGACAGAGGGAGAGGAGGGCCGGTTGGATTTCTCCTGCCAGGGAAGTCGAGAAGAGGAAGGGAAGCTGGTGAAACCAGGCGTAAATAAAATGGTCCCCGAGCTAACGGGAGGCCCTGTTTCCATGATTCTTGGGGAAACTTCATTTCTTAGTCCTGGCTCCATAAAAGTTTTATCGTGTTGGAGGGGGGATGGAGAGGGTCTGTCAAAGATGAAATGTCACCGCAGCATCGAAGTATCCGATAAGAGCGAGGAGACAGGGAGCCTGAAATATGGAGCTAATTCGTTGAAAGAGAAGCGACGGCTGCTTGCTGAAGAGTTACATAATTCTAATTGTAAGCGATGCGCCCGCATTGCTTAATTAGGAGCATATATTTGGTGGTAGTGGCGATACTGGGGTGGGGGAGGGGTGGGGATGAGAATCATCCCAGGCCCTCAGCCTGAGAGCGAGGGCTGATTTTCATTTTTATGTTGCGTCCTGGCAGTCCAAGGTTAGTAATTACAGTCTTTATGCAACAATAAATAACAATAAAAAAAACAACCCAAATAATATGCCCCCTCCCCACCAAGCACGATTTTTTTTTTTTTTTAAACTGGACTTGGCTCATCCAGGCAGCAAGCAATTTAGCATTGGGTCAGGCTATAAATTAAAGGCAGAGGAGCGTGCGAAGTTTGATTGGGATCAAATAACGCTCAAGGGTCTGTCTTTCCTTTTCTCTTCCTCTTCCCTGAATAGCCTTTCTGAATGGTATAAGTACAAGAAGGGTCATGTTTGGCCGCGTGGGTGGAGGGAGGGGGTGGATTGCTTATGTATCTAGGTGGAGGGGAGCCGGGTAAGAGACGACTTTAGCCATCATATGGAAAGCAGGGCTTTGGCTTGAAGCTAGGGCTCTGAGCAAAACTAGAACCTACCCTTCTGTCCTCACCATTCCAGGTACTCAGCGAAAGCCATGAAAAACATGGACAGAAATCTATGCTGTAAGTTTCCTGAGCAGACAGGGAGCAGAAGGGGAGTTTCTGGGAAGGAGGGTTCTCTTGGCCCCCTTTTTAACACCCAAGTTTTCTGCTGTTCACTAATCTGGCCATAAAATCTGTCATCAAGGGTTAGAGAGCTGTATTTCCTCCAGGGCGGTCTGGGCCCCGGTTGCCTTGGGGGATCCTTGGATACTGCAGCCAGCTGGCATGTCTGTTACAAAACCTGCAGAGGTGCCCAAGGGTGCCGCCAGGGAGAAGGCCCCCTCCAGGCCTCACTGCACACGACTCCCTTCCAGACAGCTGTGTTTGGAATCTTCCCTGCTAATCACCGTCCAGGAAAATATATGTATATATAGACATAGTTTTGTTTAATTTTAGCTGAGTTACACACCACCCTCTCTGGCCTGCTGGCCTAGCTAGAGAGCAGTTCCCCAAAAGCCTGCCTCTTTTCTGTCTCTGCAGCCGCCACCTCCTCCCTGGTCCTCCACCCTGCCCCTCCCCCGCTTCCAGACAGACTACTCTGCCTTTTTCTTTTCTTTTTTTTTTTTTTTCCTCTTTCTTCCTTTAAATACTTACCACCACCCACGCGGACGTTACACTGACAGAAAGTTTCTAGTTCCAGTTCGGCGCTGAGTTACCACTTCTCTGCTAACCAGCCTTCTCCTCTAGGCTGGGCCCGCAGAGAGTGAAGAGGGGGAGGGGAGGCCGGAGCCGTGGGAGTTCTCCGGGGCAAACTTTCCACTCAAGTTAGCGCCTTCCCTCTGTCCCTATTTCCCATCTGTTTCCTGGCTCTCCCAGAATCACCTTTCTCTTTTGCTACCCCCTCCCTCAGGCCTTTTTAAGGGATGTGGAATTTAGGCTGTTCCTCTGCTTTCCCAAAGAGCCAAATTCTTTGATGCAATCGGAGGGAGCTGTCAGGGGGCTAAGATTGATCGCCTCATCTCCTCTTGGTCCCTCTGACCCACTTATTTAAAAATCTTCCCCCAGATCGACTTTTCATTTTCAGCTTTGAGGCCTAGTTTCCCACCAAATTGCTTGTGGCTCTGTTTTTGTTTTTTGGTTTTTTTTTTTCTCTTTCCCTTCTTCCTCTAGTAAATTACAATATCCTAAAGTTGAGCCGATCATAGCCAGCTCACAATAGAGTACATTAAAATGTTTTTCTCTCTGGAGGTCATAAACAGAATATCATCTCAGTGGTGGTCGTTATTTCTTCTCCCTCCATCATTAGGATTTTTTTTCTTACCAGGGATAAGAAGAAGAAGAAGAAGAAGAAGAAGAAGAAGAAGAAGAAGAAGAAGAAGAAGAAGAAGGAGCCCAAGGACAAATATTTTAAGTGTGTGTGGGGAGTCCCTTTGTCCTGAGGGAGAGCCCCCTTTCCATGCATTGTCCTTAGCTTTGAAAGTTAAGAGGATGGTTACCTTGGTGTCCCTGGATCTAGACATAGCTACAGCCGTGAAGGCTGTGAATTCATCTGCCATCTTGGACTTTCTTCGATCCTCCTATTGCCAGTGCTAGGGTGTCACAGAGTGTGAGTAGAGGTGACCCCAACAGGAAGGCAGGTGCACGTGAGGAATCGCCTGAAAATCCTGAGCAGGAAACAGAACCCAGGGCCCAGAGCTGGGGAGGGAGGCCAACGCCCCAATGTGTCCTGTGCACTTCTGAAGGGTGAACTGTGGCTTTTTGAGGACGGGTGAGCCGCTGCGGGCCGGTGGTTAGTGCTGGCTGAGTTTCACCTTTTCCCCAAAGGGCGGACTCCACTTTGGACCCTGACTTCCTCCCAAAGGAGCTTTTTGCTCTTTTGGGGTTGGAGTGTGAGTGTGAGAGGATCCTGGTGGCCACAGGAAGAAAGCAGATTAAGTGACACCATCGAAATCTCCGGACAAGAAGGGCCATTTCTCCCTTAAATTTGGTTGTTTCCCAGGCGCCCACCATCACCCAGTCTCTGGAGGGGAGGAAGCGGTTCTGCTGGCTTTTCCGGGAAAAGAAAGGCACTGGGGGGAGGATGGGGTACTGGTGGAGGGGTGAGAGTAGAGGAAGAAGCTTTCTGGTATCCAGGCCGTGGTCCTCTGGAGTTTTTGAATCAATTAAAGCAAATAATGCCTGTGTTTTCCACCAGGCCCAGACGAGCGATTGGCGGAGACCGGTCCCGTGACCATGAATTCCCTGCAATTTCGTCGGAGTCCTGGGTTTAATAGAGAGAGTCCCCATACGCTTGTATTTATCAGCAATATACAATTATAAAGGCCTAAATTTAAAAAGAGAGAGAGAGAGCGCGAAACCCCCTCCCTCCCCCCGCGAAATCGCTCCATTGCATAAACCTGGGGGGGGGGCGGGAGAGGGGGTCCCTCCGATCCTCCCTCCTGACGCCCCCCCCAGCAGGCCCCCTCCCCCACCACTGAAAGCCATGAATTTTGAATTTGAGAGGGAGATTGGGTTTATAAACAGCCAGCCATCGCTTGCCGAGTGTCTGACTTCCTTCCCCGCTGTCCGGGAGACATTTCAAACTTCATCAATCAAGGAGTCGACATTAATTCCTCCTCCTCCTCCTCCGGAGCAAACCTTCCCCAGCCTCCAGCCAGGCGCCTCCACCCTTCAGAGACCCGGGAGCCAAAAGCAAGCCGAAGATGGGCCTGCTCTGCGGCCACCGCAGCCACTCCCCGCCGCCCCCCCCAGCCCCCGAGTTCCCCTGGATGAAAGAGAAGAAATCCGCCAAGAAACCCAGCCAATCCGCCGCAACCCCTTCTCCAGCCGCCTCCTCGGTCCGGGCCTCCGGGGTTGGAACACCTTTAGGTGGGTAAGCATGGTAGGGGCAGGGTGAGGGGCAGCTGGAAGGGAAGGGGCCAAAGTGAGGTGTGGGGGGAGGCTGCTGGGGTTCCCTGGGTGGATGGATGCTGGGGTTACAGAGGCAAAGCGTGTCCCGCTGGGGTTCAGGCCTACGCACTGCTAAGCACCCCACCCCCAGCAGATTTTGGAAGCCGATGGAGGGGGATGTCTTTTTTTTTTTTTTTTAATGTGCCAGAAGGGAACGGTTTGATGGAAATGTTTCCCTACGATCTGTATGGAGGAATGAAGCGTTGTATTGTAGGACTGAAATGCTGAGCCCGGAAAAGACGAGACCCTCCTTCCTCTCCTAAGCCGGGGAGAGGAGAGGGAATTCGAAAGCTAGGAAGGAAAGGGGTGAGGAACGCGAGGATTCCCTCTCCCCGGGTTCAGTTGGAAAGTTCCGAATGGGGGGGTCGGGGGGGGGGGGGGGGGGGGGGGGGGGGGGGGGTTCGGGGGGAGAAGAGAAATTGCTCCCCGCCCCCCTACGTGGCCCGTGGGCGGCTCAGAACTGCACGGGCCTGACCCGGGCCGGGTCTGCCTGCCTATGTGGGTGTGAGCTGCCAAAAAAAAAAAAAAAACCAAAACCCAAAAACCGAAGCCACCGAGGGGGCAGCGCCCTGGGGGTGGGGTGGGAGCTGGAGCAGGGCGGATGGTGTTCGGAGCGGCCGGGGTGCTCCCGATCGAGCCCTCTCTGACGCGCAGGGTGCTCTCCCCGCAGACGGCCCGGGGTCCCTGGCGGAGGGCGGCGGCGGCGGCTCGCGCAGGCTGCGCACGGCCTACACCAACACGCAGCTGCTGGAGCTGGAGAAGGAGTTCCACTTCAACAAGTACCTGTGCCGGCCGCGGCGCGTGGAGATCGCCGCCCTGCTGGACCTCACCGAGAGGCAGGTCAAGGTCTGGTTCCAGAACCGCCGCATGAAACACAAGCGCCAGACGCAGCCCCGGGAGCCGCCGGACGGGCCGAGCGCCCCGGACGACGCCGGCGACGCCGGCGGGGACCCAGCCGGGGAGGCCGCGCTCAGCCCCGGCGGCGCCTCCGTCCCCCGGGGAGGCCGCTTCCCCGGCGCCGAGGCCGCTCGGGGTCCCCGGGGCGCCCCGCCGCCCGCGCCCTCCGCCGCCGCCGCCCCGGAGAGGCTGGGCGCGGCGAGCCCCGGCTGCCCGGCGCTCGGAGCCCGGGGCCTGCCGCCCGAGGCCTCCCCGCCCCAGGACGCCTGTCCCGAGCGCCAGGCTTCGCCCTTCCTGCCCGACCTCAGCTTCCTGGCCGCCGACTCCTGTCTGCAGATGGCCGGGGGCCTCTCCCCCAGCCTGCGCGGCTCGCTCGACAGCCCGGTGCCCTTCTCCGAGGAGGAGCTGGACTTCTTCGCCAGCACGCTCTGCGCCATCGACTTGCAGTTTCCCTAGCCGCTTTCTTGGCCTCCGGCCTCTCCACCTCGGTCCTCCTTGGCTGCTGGGGAGGAAACAAACAAACAAACAAACAAACAAAACCCGAGCCTTTTCCACCCCTACTCGCGTTTAATAAGTGTTTGGTTAACATTCAGGTATTAACGAATTAGCGTTTCACCCGCCCCCCCTTCCCGTTTTTTTATTTATAAAATCACACAGGAGATTCCATTTGGTCAGGCTCCTTCCAGCGAAATCTCAGGAATAATTAAATTCTAGCGGGGGAGGGTTTTCTTAAAAAAACAAAACAAAAAAAAGAGCTAGAGGGACTTATTTTCCTCTTTTTTTTTTTTTTAAGTTTTAGACGGTAGATTATTTATTAAAATGGTTTAATAATAGGAAAAGGGGAAAGTATTTATTGTACATTATTTTCATAGAGTAAATAAATGTCTTTATGATACGAAAACGACTCTTGGTGTTGGGCTCCAGCTCTTTCCCCCCAAGTCCCTCCACGGCCGGTCTTCGCTTTTGCAGGCCCCGCGGCTCTGGCCACGCCAGCAGAGGCATGCTCCTGTCTCCCGAGGAGGGCCAGGTCCGGGTGGCGCAAAACCGGCTCAGCTTCGGCGGCCGCCTCTCCGTGCAGGGCCCCAGGGAGAGCTGTGGTCGACCCCCATCTGCCAACAGCTGGCCTCGCGCCCCGCTTGGCGATCAAGGTGGCGTGGGTGGAAGAAAAGCGAGCATTCAGGGGAGAGGAGCGGCTGCATGGAAACGCCCCGGGGGCCAGCCGGGAGCCCTGGAGGCGGCGCGGAGGGCTGAAGGAATGAATGGACCGGGGGCGGCCGTCGGGCTCGCTGGCCCGCGGGCTTCGGGGGCAGAGGCCGCCGGGCGGCTGCGGGGCGAGCTCGGGCCCGGGCCTGCGCCGTGCGCCCGGGGCTGCCGGGGACCGCAGGGCGCCGAGGCCCGGAGCCGGGGTTAGGAGCGGCGTCCCGAAGCGAGGAGGCCGGGGCAGCTCGGGAGGCGGTCGGCTGCCTGGAAGAGGCAGCGTGGCCGGCGGCAGGGACAGCGGGAGCGGGGAGGATGTTCAAAATGGCGCTGGGCCGGGCAGCGAGGAGCGAAGCATCCGCGGCCGCCATGACAGCGGCCGCGGGGTGGGGGGGGGGGGGGGGGGGGGTGTCCCGCTCCCGGCCAGCCTCCACTCCCACGTTCTTGAGGTCAGATCCCTCACACACGAAGAAGACGGTCTGGGAAGCTCTTGACAACTGTCTTTATAATACGCAAACGACTCTTTGTGTTGGGCTCCAGCTCTTTCCCCAAGTCCCTACAGGGCCGGTGCTCGCTTTTGCAGGCCCCGCTTAAGGTTGGTCTGGCTCAGGCGACCCTAGCAGAGGCATGGACTTTTATTTTCCTTACAAGGAAAGGAAGAAGGAAAAATGGAAAGAAAGAAGGAAGGAAGGAAGGAAGGAAGGAAGGAAGGAAGGAAGGAAGGAAGGAAGGGGATAAAGAGCCCCAGGGATGGGAGGACAGGGGACACAGGGAGAGTCCCTGTGGTGAGGGAGGGGGAGGCGGGAGTTGGGGCCTGGGGCCACTTCACCCAATGTGGCTTTTGATCCTTTGCTCTGGGCTCTGAAAGCGTGCCAGAGCGTCTTCCAAATGCAGGCCCACCTGTCTTGACCAACAACTTCATTTTCCGTCTCCCCTCCTCTTGCCCCCCCCCCCCCCCCCCCCCTCCCGGCTCTGTAAACTCGGCAAAGGCGAAGTGGGGAGCGCTCTTCCCTATCTGCCTCTTGGTTTGGTTTGTTCTCCGGAACCAGGAGATTTAAGGGACCCTGGAAAGTCATTCATCCTTCTCGGGTTTATTTAATATTTCTCGGGCTCAGAAACAGACACCTACCTTCTCGGCAGATGGTCGCTTTTTTTTTTTTTTGTACTTTATTTCCTGGGCCTCCTAGACTTTTCCCTCTTTTCCCTCTGACCAGCAGAAGACAACGCAGGTGGTGACACGGAGGGCCAGGGAAACCCACTGCATTTCTTTTTCAACCAAAGGGTCCCTCAGTGTGGGAAGTACACACCACGTTTTATTCAGCTAGAATTTAATCCCTTAAACTGTCTTAATATAGAATCTACCTCGTGCATTAAATAATCCTATGTCATGTTAAATTGCGCTTATTTCTCTCATAAATAAATTAATATAGAACAATTAGATGTGTTATTATAATAATATTGTGTATCTTATTAGTTTATTTTCTCTCCTAAAATATATAGGTGTGAAATAAATTCAATATATTAAAGTAATAATACACAGCTTATTGGCTTGTGTGTTTATTTTCCCCATAAATAAGTGAATATATAATATATTAAAACTACAACCATACATCTCATGGGCCGTGTGTTTATTTCTCCATAAAATATGTCCACAGGCAATGTTTAACATCTTAAAAATCACATCGCATAAGCTATCTCTATGCTAGCAAAATGAAAGAGAAACGTCGGCCGGGGCTTTGATTTCTATGGATAGCCAAAGTAGATAATTTGGTCTAATTAAAAAATGCTCTTGCCCCTATGCTAGGTTGTTAAAAAGATCAAGGATACCGGGAAGATCTCACTAATTACCCACCTTCCAGCTCTCTTTGGTCAAAAGGAGGACACCCTTCATCAATGCCAAAAGGCAGGGGCTGCAGAGAAGCCCCATTCAGGGATGCTAGTCTGTAATACCCAGGGATCCCTGCGGTGAAATTTCTGGAGACACTGGGCTGTCCCATGGCTCAGCAGTACCAGCATTACCTGAGCAAGCTGGAAATGCAGAATCTCACTTAGGTCCTACTCCACACCTACAGAACCTGAAATCTGCAGGTTAGCAGATTTCTAGATGATTTCTAGGTACATTAAAGTTTGAGGAAGTCTGCTGGATTACGCTGGTACCTTGCTTTCTGCTTTTCCTCCACAATTCAGAATTTCTGAGAGCTGGGCTTGGTGGCACACACCTATAATCCTAATACTCAGAAGGTCGAGGCAAGAGGGCTGCAGAGTCTAGGCTGTCTCAAAAAAGAAAAAGTTGGGCATGGTGGCTCATCACTGTAAAGGTGGACCTCAGAAGGCTGAGGCTGGAGGACATCTGTGAGTTTAAGGCAAGACCAGTTTACATGGCCCAGGATGGACCCCTGGGCCATCCTGGGCTACAGAATGAGCGTGTATCTCAGAAAGCAAAAACAAAACAGAAAAAAAAAAACTGAGAGAGAGAGAGAGAGAGAGAGAGAGAGAGAGAAAGAGATGGGTGGTGGGTGGGTGCTGGAGAACTAGTTGACTCAGCAGTTAAGAGCACTGGCTGCTCTTGCAGAGGACCTGAGTCTAGTTCCAGTGAGCCCCATAGTGGCTCACAGCCATTTGTATTTCCAGTTTCAGAGAATCTGATCCTTCATTTCTGACCTTCACAAGCACTAGGCAAACAGCATAGATATAAAAACAAAATCAGTAAACCCCAAACCCAAACAAAGGAAGGAAGGAAGAAGGAAGAGAAAAAAGAAAAACATTTGGTCCATTGTATTTGGCTACTACCTTCCAATTCTTCCAACCTCAGGTGCTCAGAGGACAGAGGGTCCTGAGGTTATGCCAGTCTTGCTTTCTCCTGTTAAAATGGAAGGTGCAGCGGAAGTTCAGTCTACCTGTTTAGATTCACGTATCTCCTGTACGATAGGGGAAAGTCATTTCCAATCCAGGAAATCAGGGTATCCATCTTCTCCCTTGGTTATTATTAGAGAAGAGTTGAAATCCTGTTTCCAAGAAACACACAGCCTTTCTGCCTCTGCCCTTTCTCAGATTCACAAACTTCCAGAAGGAAGGGACACCCATCTTCGATTTTCCCTCTCAGCTTCAAAACTAGGGGAGCCCCTGTCAATATGGAATTCAGCCCACTTGGCTTCTTTTCCTCCTCGTCTCCAGGGCTGTTCTATTTCACCTTGAGATGTTTTGCAGGTGAATATTGAGAACAGAGGAGGAACACAAGAGTGGTTCCCCGGTAGTGCAGTGGGCCTCTCCAGTGGTGGCCTTTGACCCCTCCAGGGGTGGGAGGCTTATTCCATCCTGACTGGGGCAGGATTCCTCTTGGGTCAGAATCAACTGTGAGTAGCCTATAGCCCTGAAGGTTATAAATTGGCTGTGGCTAGAGTGGGAAGCCTTCAGTGCAGGCCCAAGAGCTGCTGGTCAATCTGCCATGCTCTTCCATGAATCCTTCTTGCAAGAAAAATGGCTCATTAGTACTACAGTGAAAGCAAAGGACCATTAAACTGAGGAATTACTTGCAATCATGATAACCCAGAGTCATTTAAAAAAACCTTAACTTATGCCTGGGCAAGTCCCTTCGCCTCTCTGGACCTCAGTTTCTCTCTGTGAAATAAATGGAAGAACTAAATGTCCCTAATGTAGTCTACATTGGTTTAAGCTAAGGGTGCATTTGTGAAGCTTCACAGGTGATGCTGTGAAATTCGTTATGATTGGGGTTTATATGTTCTAAAGTGATTTTTTGCTGTTTGACAGTAGCCTACCTCCACATTTTAACAAAATGTAATGTGTATCTTTACACCTATAGCCAAGCCCACACTTGTTTATTTACGTCTTTTAAACAAGCACGTCACTGGATACAGTGTTATGTGCCAGGAGCCACATAGTCATTAAACATGAGCATTCAGAACTGTCCTAGCCAAGTCTTTCCGTGGCTTTCAACCTTTCCCATCTTCCCCAATATTCGACTATATTTACTATCATTTAAAAGGAGTAGGCCACTGAACCTTTAATCCCAGCACCCTGGAGGCAAAAGCAGGTGGATCTCTGTGAGTTCGAGGCCAGCCTGGTCTACAACTCAAGCCCAGTTCAGCCAGGACTACAAGAGAAACCCTGTCTTGAAACAACAACAAAACCCAAACCAAAACAAAAACAAAAGAACCACTAAAATTCCTCCTCCTCCTCCTCCTCCTCCTCCTCCTCCTCCTCCTCCTCTTCTTCTTCTTCTTCTTCTTCTATAATAAAAATTTTTTTTATCTGGTTACGGGGTATCAGAACATAGGCACAAATTATGAGCTCCCCTAAACAGCCCACACTGAATTGCTTCCAGACCTCTGATGAATATCATGGGCCCTACTGCATTGCTTCCTGAAATGTGCTGTCAATCAAATGCAAGTGCTCGCTTTGCAGAAGGTGGCCTCTGGGGCCCTATTTTATCCTTTCTGCCTCCTGTGGCCACCACAGCCCAGATCCTCCATTGGCCACTCCCAGTTCTCTGCTCTCCTTGGCCAGGCAGGGATTTCAATAGCCCTTCCTCAGAGCGCAGAGTGAAAGATGAAG